AAGATGTGTGAATTTTACTTATTGTTATGTTGAATAGGATTGCGGGGGCGGGCGTGATTGTGCGCCGTGTCGGAAATTTCGAAATGCTTTGCATTGTGTATGCTTATAGCGATGCGTTCTGACAGATTAAACTAAAAGAAGGAGACAAACAAACAATTAAACAAACAAACAATTATGATAAAAAGGAAATATATCTTGTAAATGGGACTCTTCTTACACGAGTGTATCTAGGCCCCTGATGTAAACGGCATCCTGTATACAATCTTTTAATAATTGTATCTGTGAATCAGTAACTTAATGTACCTCACGTACTCCCACTAAAATATTTATTCTTCCGACGATACACGTTGCCAATTTATTGTCTTAAAATAGTTTACAGTCCTCGGCTTTCCGACATTATCCGTCCCCGAATGATACAAATGTAGCGTTGTGTACTACGTATATGAATCTACTAAGATTAATCGAATATAACAATGAATACACAATTAGAAGTAGAATAATTTCCTAATTAGTAGTGCCGTGCGGTAAGAAATTGCGAGCACAAAACGATCAATTTTTGAATTTTCCGATTCGTCAGAAATTTAATCCGAGGACCATGCTCGTTCGCAGTATGTACATATACTAGCAAAGTAAATGGTCTGCGGATCAGGTACACAAATAAGCAATTACTGAGAATTACTACTAATGCGCGTGTACTTTGGAAATTACACACACACATATACATACACACCCACAAAGAGAAACAACATACGCGTAAACACACATGGAACATAGGAGAACACAACAAACGCTAGCGTTACGGCCCGAAACGTCGTATCGCCGAAGGAAACATGAGTTATCTTAAATGGTTTTACATGTATTAAAGCGATTGTAAATATATATTATAATATATATTATATATATGATTTTCATATATATATATTATATATATTATATTATAATATATTAGATACACCTTATAATAAACGTAATTTAACATAAAATGTACTCCCAGATGCCTTCTATGTTTGTATTACGTTTAAAAAGAAAATTTGGAGATGTTTGGAATTTCTCTCAAACTGAAAGTGAACATTTCATTATTTCCTTTAGAGCTACTTTGTGTCACCGATTACGCGATGATCATTCCGTTGTGTCATCGCGATTTCTTTCACGCTACAATTTCGTTATTTCGTTAATATTTGAAATACATGAGCGCTTCTCCCATTTAAAACTAAATATGGAGACAAGCATGCTTTCCGTCAAATGCATGGAAATGTATGACAAATAAATTGATCACTTTGCGGACTATGCGTGACCCATTACATTAATTATTAAGATACCGAAAAAAATGCAATTTATTATTTGTTACATATCGTTTACATAATTTCTTTAATTTAATGTTAATCCACTGTGGAAAACTCTCATGCATTTCGACCTTACTCGCGTGTGTGTGGTTTTCACGTGAGACAAAATAACTGCTAGCATGAAACCGTTTGTATTGGTCTAGCGACCTTGACTTTCACTTTCGTCTGCTAGTCGAGCACGTGGCTTCGTTTGACAGCTCTGCTCCTTTGTCTAGATAGGTGGCGACCCTGCTCGCGCAACTGTCGTCCATTCTCAACAGTTAACATTACTGTCGAAGATGGCTGCATCCACATAATATAGTAATAGTAATTACGAATTAATTTCAGAATTGTTTATTTATCAAAATTATGGTATCAAAATTGTGTTTCGTGCTGGTTCAACGAGTCTTTCGGATCTAACGTGTTCTTCTTCTAATACAACGGTTTGCCCATCGAGTCTTTATGGATAACTGTGTTCCGTTACGTTTCGCTTCCAGTGCATATTACTTGTTGCAACTCGGTTGTAACCTTTCCACGTGCGCATTTTAGATTAATATTGTTTCTTTCTCGCGTTGATCCTCGACAAACAAATTGTTGACGTAATGGCGGATACGTTGCACAAAGATGGATATGAAATGTGTAAGTGGAAATGAATTTTAAGATCTCGATTTTGCGAGTTCAATTCTCCATTGTTATCAAACTTTCAATATCTTAAAGTAGCACATTTTGTATGGAGCTGTTATCAGTAGTTGATGCTTGATATTATAAGATGATATAGATTTGATATTTAATTTCGATCGTGTTTACTGATTATGAAGTATTAGTAGCTAACAGTATTAATGCTATTAAACATTTATTGTTTTATATAAGCAGCAAGTATAGCTATTCGTGGCGGAGGTGGTAACATGGGAACTGATAGCGATATGAAGCTAGAACCGTCTAGTCCTACAGAAAAGTACACATTTTCCCGTTGTAGTAGTACTGGATCAGTAAATACACCATCTTCGTCTGCGCATAATACAGGTAAGTGACTTAGTTAGTTCTTATAATGTTTATGGTAATTTATTTTTTAAGGTTTTCGAGAAATATAAAATTATGAAAGCATTTATACCAAAATTTTTGGTTCACTAATTATTTGTAGAGGATGAAGACAGTGATAACAAAAGTTCAACTATAAGTTACAAGGAACGCCGAAGGGAAGCTCATACTCAAGCTGAACAAAAGCGAAGAGATGCTATTAAGAAAGGATACGATTCCCTTCAAGATTTGGTTCCCACTTGTCAGCATACCGATTCGTCAGGTTATAAATTGTCTAAAGCTACTGTGCTTCAGAAATCAATCGATTATATACAATTTCTGTTGCAACAAAAAAAGAAACAAGAAGAAGAACGTAACGCCTTAAGAAAAGAAGTTGTTGCTTTGCGTATTATGCAAAATAATTATGAGCAAATTGTTAAATCACATCAGACTCAACCAGGTCACGCAGAAATGCGTATATCCGATGAAACCAAATTTCAGGTGGTATGTACAAAGTATTTAATATATCTGTTCCAAGAAAGTAAAAGTTTACTTATTCTTACTTGGGAAATGTCTGTAATTTAAATATTATTATAGTTCCAGGCAATTATGGATCGTTTGTTTCAAACTTTCAATAACATTTCTGTAGCAAATTTTGCAGAATTATCTGGATGTGTATTCAGTTGGTTGGAAGAACATTGTAAACCTCAGGTAAATAAATTACATCTCAAATAATCGCATACGCTTTATTTGTAAATTAACAAATAGCGTTTATTAAATATATAACAAATGTTTCAGACCTTGGGAGAAGTGGTACTGTCGGTACTCCAGCAGCTTAACAGTCAAATCAGCTAGTCGAGTATATTAATAGAGTTCATGATTGCACAATATGTTTATAAAAATGTTTTGCTGGTACTTAGTTCAGTAACTGGTAGAGTTACCAAAAAAGATGGGAACATGTGTGTTTTATGCAATACGGGTAGCATAATAAGTGCACAAGAAATACAAATAGAAATTTATTTTATATATTAATATAGTTGTAGATATAGCCATGAAATGTGGCACAGAATTTCCTCATGCCGTTGTTGGCGATCGGACGATGTTAAATATTTTTACCAGAGATTTTTATTACAGAAATTTCGCCGCATATGTATATATATATATGTGTATGAATGTATTCGATTATGTACATAATACAGACTAATCTCCAATACAGCTGCTTGAAATAAACACCCAACCATTTCTGTCTATATTTTATATCTTACAGTCATATCTTAGTTTTTAATTAGTTTTCTCTCCAGTATTGTCAATTTTTTCTGAAACGTTTCTGTAATGCATATACTTTTATATTTGAGTTACGTTCGATTAAACTTTTTCAGATTCTGTGGGCATGCTTTCTCCTTGAGTAATGTCGTTTAAGAGTATTGCATCCAATCTGGGTCTGTTCGGGTCATCGGGTTCGTGATGAGGACTGCGAGCGCGTCTCCTCTTTGTTCTGTCTTCTGGTCTACAGCATAGGTCACGAAAAATGCAGGCATAACAAGCCAGTATTACGCTCATCATCATTAAACCTCCAATCGCGAGAATGACTACCAAAAATATCGATATTTCGTCACCCATGTTACATTATATTTCTTCGCGGCCAATATTTAAATGATCTGAAACAAAAATTAATACATTTTAATTTTTTTTTATATGTAAACAGGGTTGGACTTAAATTTTTATTTAAACAGTAGAGGAAAGTGTCATTTTATTTACAGGCAACAAATATTTTATGTAAATAGAAATTGTTTATATAATGTCCAAAATATTTATTATTTTTTAATTTGTGTAAGCAGTGTTTAGTATCTTTTATATTGTATGTAGTAAAAGAATCGTGAAATTAATTTTGTTGTTTTTATAAAACTTTACACACATACATTATTTTCACGAATAGAGTTTTTATGTGATTTTTTAATGAAAATTGTTATAAAAGTATTTTTTTTTATTGACTACACAAATTATGTAATAGTATCCAGCATTACACTTTATTTATAAAGGTATTGAATACATTTTAATCACTTTACATTGTATAAAATTTTCAGTGAAAAAGAGATTGTTTTATGCTTAAATGTATCATTATCCTCCTGTAGAAAGAACGTGAGTTGAATTGAAACTTTATATTCTACTCCATTTATTTACTGTTGTATTTAGTATTCAGTCGTCTTAACTTTGAAAAATTCTTCTCATACCATAATGTCCATTGTACGTTCGAACAATGGTTACTTAAAGAAGAATATTCACTTGCTTTCTTTTATTACATTACGTCTTTTTACGCTTAATTATGAAATTAGCCTTTTTATAAAGAGAAAAGTTTAATTTAGCATAGTATTAAACGTTTTACATTAAAAAATTATGTTTATGAGATAAAAGTACGTGTAAATATTTATTAAATTTATATAATGTGATATAATAATCAATTGTAAAAATTTAAAACAAAATTAATTATTTTGAAAGGTTACAAAATTGTTTATTTCTTAAAATTCAACTAAAATTCTATTTTATTCGGTACAAACTTGTTAGATCAATCTACTCTCGCTATAATCCGATTTATTTGTCGATAGTCACGTACTCGCGAAAAAACGTTGAGCGAATAGTTCGACAGCACTCTATGTCGAGCGTAGGTACTTCGGAAAATTAAATTTTGCGTATATCAATTTAAGTTGAAAGTATTTTTTGAGTGAAGAAATTCTAAACTTTTCTTTGTGTATAAAATTAAGGAATGATATCTATTATATACTCATCAGAAACGAGTAATTTACAGTAAAAGTTTTATTTTTATTTTAACAGCAAAAGGAAAAGTCATGAAAGTATATTAGATATTAAATCCATATTTTTACACTGCCCGTGCCTTTACTGTCTAATTCTACTTCAGTAGATGGGTCTTTGTCTGAACAGTTTAATCGATTTTTAATTCGTAACACTTAAGTAATCGCCTAAAAGTGTTATAACTATAACCTTTTTCATTAACTTTAATTAAACTCATTTAACAGATTTTATTAAAAATTGTGTTTTAAAAAGGCAAGAAAGATACTTATTGAATTGTTAATGCCCCCTGTTCAAGACTTAAGTAATAACAAAAGAAAAAATAAACAAAATAAATGGAAATTCGTCGTTAAAGGAAAAGAGGGAGACTTACTATTCGATTGGATAAGTGTTTTATATTACCATTTTTATGTTTGGTATCAATTATATAGCTACACGACTATTTAGAGTATATTCTTATAGCTTAAGGGTATAATAGAAAAAAGCTATGCAATTAAATCTGTCCTTCATTGTTCTTAAAATTTGTTGATACATCGATTTATATCAATATTCATTGTTGTTTATAAGAATTTTTAATTAACATTTCATTTGTTTAAACATACAAGCGGACTGCTGCTATCGTAGATTTTCCTTCAAATATGACATTAACACGGATAGGGATTCAAGTTTGTAGTGTCAATTACACAGACTCAAGATATCCAAAGTCTGTGTTAATTAGCTAGTGGCTGTGGTAATTTGTCGTAGACAGCGCAGTAAGTCTGTTCGACCACTTCTATCACGGATGGAAAATAAATTTTAATTGCAAACGTGACAGCAGCTAATTGCAAATACTAATGATAACATTAATTGAACTATGGCGTATCGTCAAGAAATCCATTAGAACCGTATATTTAATTCTTGCATAAATAATCAATCCTTGAATGCATGAAAAATGTTATTTTACTGTCTACTAAACATATCATTTTGTAAACCATCAATTGCGTGCTATAACGTGAAATTCGATATTGATCGTGCTTTCATTTAAAATTAATTTGATAAAATTTTATAATTGTATATCCTGTCTTCTAAACGTAATTAATAACAATTATAAATGGCATTAATATTCTATGTTTATCTCTAATTATTAACTTCGACGATCTAGTGTAACGTACCATTTTAATGGCAGAACCTTACAATTCTTACGAGAATATTACAGCAGTTTTTATACACTTTTTTCAATGTTCTAATACACCTATAAATATTCATTCAGATGTACATGGGTCTGGTAGGTAATAAAGACGAGTAATAATAATGCAACCTATGCATAAAAACGATTATTTTCTGTGTAGAAAAAACCTTCGAAGACATTTCCTATGCAAGAACGAGCGTTTTATGAAACATTAAATTCATCCGATTGGCAGATGCTGATGCGAGGGTGACGCGTCGTAAAAAGATGCTCGGGCTTTAATATTTCATTGATGAAAGGGTAGTGACGTGAAAAAAGAGCAACGGCTCCTTTTTTTCGAGCATCGCTTCTTGTCACTTAATAACGGAAGCAGATAATATTTTCCATATTATGCTTTTTCGATATTTTTATTTTTATTTTTATTGCACAGGTCGCTGTTCCATTTTACTTCGTTGCATTTGGAAAGGACACTGAAATGCATATTCAATGACATTTCCATGAGATCGATCACGTTTATTGAATTTACCTATAAAAGTGGCAACTCAACTTGTTATATGCATTCAACTATATGGATCTCGTAATAATTCCTTATATTCTTCTCTCGATTTACTTATTTGTAGGCTACTGACTTTAAGTCTGCTATACTATTTATATTAGTATAAATTAGATCGTGTTATATTGTATCTTTAAATATTTCACTAGTTTTATCTATCTTATAATTATGAAAAATTAACGACTTAATTTTATTTATTTGAATATTTACAAAAGTATTTGGTAAGCTTAATCAATTTTAATATGTCAAGTAATGATTATTTTTATTATGTGATTTGTATTTCTTTAGGGATATGATACTTAATTTCAGTTCATTTTGTTTTACTAATAATTGCGAAACAATTCTTCCCTACAAAGTTACAAAACACGTTCATTCCAAACTATCTGAAGTTATTAAACCGGAAAAGCTTAAACAACATTTCAGTCAGCATTTTATTAATTTAGCCTTTAATTTGCACAGGCTTAATTGCCTCTGATCAAAGTTTATATTTCATGCAACAATTCTGGAATAACGTGAAATAAAATAATATTACGTGCACGTGTACAGGTACGCATGTATTGTGTCGCGGCAATTTTATTCCAACAATGAAAGCTCGTTTTCATTTTCCGTTTATAAAACATGCTTCGTTAAGTCGGTTATTTTATTAGTAATGAACGAACGAAATGAAAACTGCTAATTAACGTTGGTTAAAAGTTCTTCAAATTAACGACTAAATAAAATCTTTGTTAACCTTTATAATTGCTCGATTCTACTGTGCTTCGTACGTGTTATAGCAGGATATATTGCCAAATATGTGAAAATTTCGAGAATCTGCTGTTATTCAGTTGCTTATTAATTTCGTGAAGCTTCACACTATCAACACTAAACGCATCACGGCCGGTCAAATGGCCTATATTGTCCGATTAATTAATTCTTCAATTTTTGTCTTTCCTTTTGTTTCTATTCCCACTAAGAAAAATTGATCGTTTACCTTATTTACCTTTATTTCGGTTACGGTAGAAATAAGTATACATAAAATTCTGGTAGCTTAGAAGGTACCGATACAACATAATAGAAATCTATTAACCGTTCGCGGATAGGAATTTTTTAAACTTTTGAAAACTTTTTTTATAAAAAAGCTGAGTTATATATCGAAGCCTTAAATACTAGAAAAGAAGGAAACTAGGTATTAATCTCTTGTTATTTGAATAGTTAAATTATTCATTTGCGGTTTTCGATTTCAGATACAATATCAGAAAAGGGTTATTATTAAAGCAGAATATTTTGAAAAACAATAAAACCATTAGTTCAACCTCATTTGTGACTTTTCCCATCTTTCCCCCAAACTTTTGCAGCAGCCCATAGTAATAATTAGTTCGTGGTCTCACCTTCACAAATATTTTCGTATCATCACGATTTATACGGACTCCTCGACCGGAATACTATCTTCTTCCATAAACATAGGCCATTTCTCGAGTAATCCTGGAGAAATTCCTTTGAAAGGCTCTCGCCCTTCATCGGGAGATTTGATCCTTTCTCAGCGATAATTCACCGCATAAAATGCGACGCGGATCCGTACGTGGATCGTGTGTACTTTTCGGATGATCCACGAAATTTGAACCCGACGAAAAGTGGCTTCCCGTTCCCCAGGAGCACGCACAACAATTTCCATACAAATTCCCTGGGTGAGAGAGTGGCGGAACGGTGAAGTAAATTATTCGCATACAAATTCGTGGGACCCTTCACTTCAGCGATGCACATTAGCTTGGATACTGCTCGAGTCCTGGCCACTGTTATTAATTATTTATTATCTTTATTAATAATTAAGTTCCCTCTGAAAATGACAGGATATGGCAGGAACTTGTGTCTTCCTGTACAAATTTTGAACACTTTTATGAATGCACAGAGTCATCGATAAGTATTATGGTGCAAGGATGTGTTTATCTAGTTTAGCAAGCGAATTTGGACATCAAAGTTAATTTTTGTATAAATGCTATTTATTTTGTTAATGTTATATTTCAAATTGACTGATTTTAAACTTCATTTATATTTTATTGATGTAACTGGTATAATTAAAATTTTATTGATTAATATTTAATTGGACTGTCTTCATGATGTGAATTGTAAATGATAAGTACATAAGTCTATTTTTTTAAGTATTTTATATCACTTTTAATTAAACAATGTAGTAACGGGTGTTTCGTGTTTTAAAAGCATCGAAGGTACCTCTTTGAATTATAGC